ATTTTTAGTTTTGCAATGATATATTTTATGGATAATAGAGGCAGTTATTCTGTAATTAAATTAATGGCTTTGTATAATATGTTTATTTATAGATAAATAAGGCACAGGCAAAAGAAACAAGGTAGTTGTTCCGTGATTATTGTTAAATTAATAATTTGTATAATATATTTATTTACATCTAGTTGGTCTATAATCATTGTCGTTGTTAAATTAATTTAATCAATTAAATTAATCAAAAATTTCTTTTTTTACGTGATAAAATCAAAATATATTCGACGAAAAGAAAATCATTATCAATTAACCAAATTTGGTTATGTGGTAAACACTTAACACATTAATAGAATCTAGATTTCTATCCACTTGGCTTTTTCAAAGAAAAAGATCAAATAACTATTTTTTATATTAAAGCAATTTTAAAGAAAACGTTGTTTGAATGTCCTATATGAATAAAGTAAATATACAAGCATTTTATATCTAAATTATGAAATAATTCAATTTGGTCCGGTGACTTCATTGAGAACCCAACGCCTAAATTTTATATAATATATTATTATGTTTAATTTTTTTTAATTGGTAATTATTTGATTAATATAATTCATTCTTTGGATGATTATATTAACAATATAGTTCTTTGACCGCGCGATCTATCACAATATATAAGGAAATCTTCTAATTATCCGTTATATTGTATGCAATAATATAATATATTGAAATGATGGAAAAAAATTATTCTTTTAAAGCTATAATTAATAATTATATTAAATTAATTAGCCGAATGCAAAAACAGTTTTTTTATACAAAAACAGTTTTTTTATACAAAAATAGTTTTTTATACAAAAATTGGATTATATCCATATTTGATTTTTCAATAGCTATTTTTATGTTTGTTCATTCAAAGAATATTGGGAAATTCAAAAATATTGTCAAAAATATTCGGCTTATAATAATTTCTTTAAATAATCATTGTGAAACTAAATGCCAAGAATTAATTCATTGTGTTTTTTTTGATAGTTTGTTCTAAAACAAAATTATTATGGTCACACAAAATATATCGTGCATTTTTCTTAAAACTTCATTACCCTCATACATCAAATCTTATAAATCCTTTTTAT